GAGAGGGTTACGGTCAGATAATACTCGATCAAGTTCAAAGCTTAGCTTGTTGTTTAGACAAAGAGTAAAGAGCCAACCGTCACTGCTGTATGTTAATGCAAACTATTGCATACGAATAGCAGCTATCATCTTTACAGGCCGACGGATTATATACATTAAACTTTGCCTTCCAGTAGGACGACCATTTACCTTCATCTGCATGAGTAAATTATTTTTACGTCACGCTTTAAAATTAGAATACTAACAAGATGTTTAGTAACCATCACAAACTTTTTCTGTTTGTATAACTCAAACATTCATCAGTTTAGTATAATCTCATCATGGTTAAGTACTATAGAAGCAATTTATACTTATGAACACGAATTTATTGGCGATTGATGCTATTGGCTCTCCATTGGTTATCATCATTGCTATCTAGTGATGTATAACTAAACTCAGCTCTAATTTATGAACGGATGATTCCAATAATTCCATGTTATTAGTATGATGCTGTAATAGGCATCGATCAGCTCGCAATAATGAATGTATATACATGAATGTATATTGCAAATTATAACTATGGAGACATCTGTTACGCAGTTAAAATAAGTATTAGAACCTTCCGAATTATACGTTTACGGCCTTCTCGTGCCCGCATGCGGCTGAGATAGCACCTGCGGATGTGATGACCACACCTGCGACTAACGATCAATAATAAACTCGTAAATTGCAATATTACATCACTAACTTCTTCATTCTTATAGATAAGATTAACGTTTATTTGTTTTCCGTGGCTTACCGTAAATAAGAGAACAATAATGTTGTCGAATGGTAGACTGCGTGTAATGTTTGCAAAATGAAAGCATCTAACACCCAAAAGAAGTGAACACGACACAATTCATGAGCACGCTTCGTTCCATTGTCTAAAACGCGCCCATCATATATTCAATGCAGAAATTCCTGATGTCGTATGCATGGGCACGTTCGATTGCTTCGTCAAATCGGCATTGAACGATACAAGTGATCTTGCTTTTGGATTATCGTAAAACTATTTTCGTGTATCGACTGTAGAGTGCGCGTAAATCACTTAGGCTATTTTTTCCATAGCGTTTAGAAACATCTCAAAATAGCAATACACGTAGGTATGGCTTTTAATGACGTAACACTTGCCGTGCGTTCAATGTGATACGGAATTGCATGATATAATAATAATATCTGGTCGGGACCGAAAGAGAGCGGCCAGCACGATGTGTCATAAATCGATGTGGTCGGACCACGCTGTGGTTTTAGGGTTACCGTGGTTACAGAACAAGAACTCGTTGAAATTGGACGTTGATTCCGACTCTAGTAAAACTTTTCTCGTTACACACATAGTTGTTTCCAACTGAACGTCATGTAAAGGCCGCGATGGCTGTGGTTTGCCACAATTCTACATCTCTAGCATATTTTAGATACCATAATGCAACTTGGACCTAAAAATTGCATTTCATGAAAGTTGAAGCAGAAGTTGAGGTTCAAACTACGTCAATGGTCGGTACCGTAAAACATTTTTGTCGGTACAAGGTCTTGCCCCAAGTTCCGAACTTCGATGTGCCGTCACAGTGCGTTCGATACTTTCACTAGTTTTTGTAAGCTACATGAATCTAACCGTTCTACGGAAACGGCGTGGAGATAAATTAGAAGTAATCATAGATGAAAATAACGGTTAAATGACGAATGAAAATACGCTAGACCTGAATACATGTATTTCAAAACACCGCATAAAGTTACATTTAGCTAAAATTGTAGCTGCATAATGTTTCCAGTGGTTATAACTATTTATTTTAATTTTCCAAAGTCTCAGAATCAGTTCCCAAACAATAACATACCAAATATCTCACCAGTTCGCATTTCAATTACCAGCAAATTCGGTATAAATTCGGTTCCATAATCAGATTTCCAAAAATCGATAGGATTAATTAGAAATTATCCAATCAAGGTAGGCGCTTACCCCGGTATCTACACTATGTGCTAGTCTATACCGTGACAGGTGATCGGCGATGTCGGAATAACATGTATGATGAATTTATGTGCTGACGTCGGCATTTTTGTACACTCCCGCCGAACCTTTAACATTATCGAATTTCCTTTCGATATTCACTGAAAGCTAGCTCTATTAAATTAACGACGGCCGCAGTCGAGGCTCAGGATTCTATTAACTTGCGTTTTTCTTTTCATTAAATGTTACATCCTGACCTGCTAATTTTCCAATATTTTCTCTCTCAAAATAACAGTAAGTTGTCGGTACATGTTGAATATGTTTATATGTGGAAAATGTGTTTGTTTTGCCGGTCGGTAGGTAAACAATCAAATTATTGGCGCGGGTCGGGGAAATATTTGAACCAGTCTGCTACACTAGCAATAAAATCATTGTCTTGTATGTTTGGTATGGTTTCAGGACATGGTGCTTATGTTGCATCGTCGGTATATGTAGTTGGTATTTAACTAAGTATGTCCTGTTTGTTCAAAAGTACTTATATTACCAAACATCTTAAATGGACCAGTCTTACGAATACATCAATACAAAATCAAAACCGCTTTGATGTACTTGCGTACATTTTCTCGTGACTTTCAAGTTCGTGTAACAGTCAGCGAGTCAGTTAGTATTCCTGAATCTTTGAAACATCTTAAATCCGTGAAAGTTGTTTAAATAAACCAATATTACAACATTTTCTCAACATCTCAAGAGTGTAAGACAGACAGCATCAGATGACGCTATTGTGAAGCTGCAATTCTGTACATTGTAATTGTTTGAATACAGTTCGGAACCACTGATGCACTGTGTCCGTAAACTTTGCGGCCCGGTTGTTTCAAACAAATTGTTTTAAATAAAGTTGTTTTTGTCGCGTGTTACCTCGCTGAATATCCAAACAGACAAATTGTGCTCGTGAACTTTGAACTTCATTCGCATACCTATCGTGTGCAATTTTACATCGGCATTCACGCTTGCATTGCAATTAATATTTTCATAATTCACAGAGTGACCTATCGTTTACCCCTATCGATTTTGTTTTTTTGTGTATAGGTTTGGTATGACAGTGGCTGTGTACTATGGCTGTGGGCGGTAATGTAGCTGTATACAGATGTAGTTTGTTTATCAATTTTAACTTTTGGATCTAAATGAATGAGATCCAGACTATAAAGGGATCTAAGTCATAGAAGCTTTTAAGATCAACGAACGATCAATATATTTTGCAGTCAAGTTAAAAATAAATTGATGTGAGTTATTAACGGTTTTATCGATACTTTCGGTACGATTTAAGTTTTTGGGACAAACAAAATCAAACACAGCAAGCCGCGAGCGAGCAGGCGCTACACGGCGCGCTTTATCTTTATCGGTGTGTCCGTGACATTTCCACGCCCTAGGCCCTCGACTGTCGCATCAAATACCATCCTTTACTCACTGATACAATGACCCGGCCCAAATAACGAACGGCAAACCACCAACTCTCGATACCAATCTGTAAATAGTCCGGTACTCACTTCGATCAACTGTTGTTATATCAAGTTTATCGAAGAATACTCGTTTACTTCTATTTACAAACATGTCATTAGCTTTGTTACATGACAAATGGATTGTTATCGTACCTTTGCTTGTATGTTTAATGAAGTACTGGTGGTTGTTAAATGCAGATTCTCAATAAACTTCTAAAGCCAGCATTTATTTACCTATTAAAAATACACACTCGACTTTGTTAATTGCTTGTGTTCAGTGTTAAACGTTTTATTTGTATATTGAAATATAAACTCTTCGTTTTTATGTTATTCCGTATTTAGGGAGTAAATCGGGTGGATCGGCAAACGTTATTAGGTATATCAATCACCTGTCGGATTTCTCATTTTGTGGGTACAGTGCGTGGGACCGGTAAGAATGTTTTCGATTACATTACTCAATATTGATGATTTAATTTAGTAAGCTTCAGAACAAACTCAATTAAAATAAGAATAGAAAATTGATAAAATGTATAACAACAGAAGCGTTAACTATTTTTAAATTTTCTACGTGAAATGGACGTAGACACAAGTGATAATTTAGTTATTGCAAAAGCATTGGAACAACATTGTGGGCTTTCCCGAACCTGTCAATTTTGTCGCTAAATAATAGTACTGGTGGTTCACGCTGAAGAGGCGCCGTCAATTTTCCTGTCATGTCTCCTTCAACCATTGGTGGAATAATGCAACTTGTTACTGTTTGTCGTAACAATTATCGTACGTGGACCTCCTGTCATTACATGTACTTGAGTTAATTGTTACCTTCGTGCAGCGTGAGTGACATTTGTGTCTGTTTCAAATAAAGCGATGATTATATTTTTAGCTATTTACATCAAACCCTGTACCTACAATTTTGTACTTGTAAGTACATATTAGCGAATTTACGAATCTGTAAACGGTGAATGTCGTTCCATATTATGTTTAAAATATACCCCTGTCTACGTAGCTACGATATAGCTGACAAACATTCAAGTGACCCTATAAATACTTAAAAAATAGGTCAAGCTGGTCAAGAGAAGAATTACGTATCCTCGTTCACCATGGCTTTGTAGATTAAATTAATACATTTTCAACGGTAAAGATATTAATTAATTATACGCAAGAAAATAAGTTTTTAATAACATATCAAATTAGAAAAATTATGTAGGACTACTAATACCTACTTTGTCAAATGCATAATTAAACAGCAGAGTGAAAGCGTATACCTTCAAAGATACAAGTTAGAGAGCAAGGAACACGAGACTGGCGTATCGTTAGCGTCTAGACTAGAGCCAGGTTAAACTTTCTTATCGCGAAAATTGATATTACTCGGAGACTATGAACAATACTTAAACGATAACTGACTTACTTACTTTACTAAAGTTGGATAGAGCAGCTTTCGAGATACTTACGGCTTATATACCTACCTAGTCTCATAATATTTATTTGCACTAGTTTCTCATTTGTGCTTGTACCTAATCTATGTTTTCTTTTTGTTCTAGGTATTCAAGATGGGTTGCTTTGTGAGTAAAGATAAACTGACCAAAGAAGATATGGATTTCTTGAAAACTCACACGTCCTATGATGAGACAACCATCAAGGAGTGGTACAAGGGTTTCAAGGTAGGAATTGTGAAGCTTCAACAATACACTTTTTCGCTTTTTCATTGCATACGTAATTCTTAATCACACTCCCACTCGAATTCACTAAAAAACTAGGACAATTTACTGAACACATTTGAATCACATGATACACTTCATGACTTTGCATTGTAGTGACTTTAAAGTCGTTCTATTTACTTATTCAATTCCAATAACTCTCCGCTTCACACAATTCCCTGATGATACGATAAAATAGAAAAAATCTTATAGAATTGGGACACTCGTTCAATTCAACCATCCTATCTTCGTGGAGAACTGATTGCAGCGAAGTGCAAGTATTTACAAATCCCCAGGGTCGAGATCGTTCGATTCCTAGTTATCTTCAATGTATTAACTCAATATTACCGTGTTATACATAGTTCTTCACAAGGACACCTTTGTCTTTATTAATTATCGTTGATTCAGAATAATGTTATTACATTGCTTCAATTATGGCCTTGTCTGCTTTATTGGAATCGGTAAAAGCATTCTCCACATAGGTACCTTCGATTGATCCTGTACAGTACTAAAATATCGTAAATAAATTGATCAAAGGCATAATTCTCAATATCAATCGACATCGATATTTGCATTTCTTGTGATTCTTCTCAATTAGTATTTGTTTCATTGTTATAATCTTGTTTTTCTATTGTAAATGAATAAAAACAATGTCCAATTATGATATTCTTACAAGTTGTTCACAAACAAAGCACTGGGTGTAGGTACCTAACCTGGGTTTATAGCTATATCTAGCTCAACGTATAAAGTGCTTGCGGTGAAACAATAACTCCCGCAATATTTTTATTACACGTATAAATAAAAGTTATATTCTCATTTATACTTCGCGTATTACGGCCGGTTTAACGATGTAATTTTTCCAGTAAACTGAAACTTAAATGCAACCGTGATTATTTTCTCATAAACGGCTTCCAGTAAAGATAAGGGAGCTTCGGTCCGGAGAAAACTCAGGGCTGTAGCTGCAATAGATTCAAAATATAATTAATTCCATGTTTAAGCTGTCGAAAAGTTTGAGACGTTGAATCTCACAGTTTCTCGGTTAAATGGAATCTTTAAATATATGAGCGTGTTGCGAAATTAATTCAGTACCTACATTACTAACAATGGTTAAAGTTTATTTAACACAAAACTGTTAATCATTATAAGCGCGTGCTAAAACGACCACAATACACCTACCAATTATTCCGGTCGGCCTTCGAAACCGCAAACATAGGTGGATTGACAAATTTACATTTGCATGAAGTAACATGATTGTTCCGACCGCGTCCAAGTACACACGCAATGTTGAGTTTAGGGTAACAGTTTGCCATGCATGCTTGCATTTATACCGTCGCCGCACGTTTGCACCAGTTTCTACACCACTTTTACTTTCTACGTCCATCAAAACACCATCTTGGATAGACATTTATTTCCAAATTCACATACATTAATAAAGCTTTTCATTTTAATATGTTTCATAGTCATTCGTAATGCCCAAGGCTAATGATTTTTATTCTTTCCTTGTAGCAAGACTGCCCGAATGGCAGGCTGACACCTGCAAAATTCGTAGACATGTATAAGATGTTCTTCCCATCCGGTAATGCTGTAGAGTTCTGTGACCATGTGTTCCGCACCTTCGATATGGACAAGAACGGATACATTGACTTCAAGGTAAAACATTTGAAAAATTAGCTAAGCGTCGAATTAAGTCATCCAATCTTAGTATAAGTCTTGAATACATGTAATGAACTATTTTTAAACAACAGTTTGCTATTGTTGCAAATGCAAGTTCCTATGCGCCATTGCGACTCGCACAAAGTTAAATATTTGTTAACTTACTGCGATTGACTGACTACTTTGAAAATTTTTGCTTGCGATTTTAATTGTTAACTATAGCCATAACTACTAACAACACCCACGGAACAAGAGATCCATAGTATTCCTTGTTTGTACTGGCCCCGACTCGCGTGGTGTACCAAGACTACTTTGTTGTAGGAGTTTCTGCAGGCCATCCACGTCACGTCAAGTGGCACTCCTGAAGAAAAGCTGAAGTGGGCCTTCCGCATGTACGATGTTGATGGCAATGGAGTCATTGACATTCAGGAGATGACGAAAATCGTGCAGGTTTGTAACAACTGAATATTTTGCAGATCAGTACGGAGTTATATCCTTTATTCGCCGCAACCTGTTGCTGCAATTTAATTACGAAAGACCAGCACGTCACCTATCAGGAAATTGCCTATCGTACAGAAAAGCCAACTCTTGCAATGTGGTTGTGTAAAATGTATGCGGCGATAGAGTGTTCCCGGAGCATAATAGATGAATCATAAATCAGTTACGCTTCAGTATCTATTTTCTGTATAAGAAACGGTTTTGTTTAGTCTCGCTCGTGTAGGTACCTATTTGATAATTGTTACACTGTTTTTATTACAAAAATGTGGTATCACTTCATACCTGGTGTGTCAACAAAACGATGGTGATATTTATGCTCAAAAATACATTGTACTTAGACCTTTCAACGCCCATCAAACGAAATGACTAACATTGACACAGTGTTCAATCACAAAGCGCTGTTAGATGTCACGCTAAACCCAAGCCTTTTATTTTAAACGTTTTGGATCGGGAAATCTGGTGACAGAAAACCTGTAACGTCATCAAGTGACAGGCTCGTTCTTTTTAACCGGCTTCAAATTGAAAGCTTACATGTTAGACTACCCTCGATGAATTTTTGAAACTGAAAAATTGTCATAGAGTCAAATAAATTGGAAAAGGAAGAAAATTTGATGAAAATAAAAGGGAGATTCATTTGTAGATCGGGAAGTTAATAGGCATTCATTTTATTCAATGATTAAATACGTTTTTTAATAATTGGCACTCGACCGCTAGCTAGACTATTTCTTATTAATGTGTTTTAGTAGTAACCTACTAATCTAATACGGCGCAAACGTCTACGTTGGTAGATAATCCTCGAATAAGATGCACCTACATAGACGAGCTGCATTTGAGGTAACATAAACAACAGACCGAGTGTAGACTGTTGACATCGTTTAATCATCCTAGTTGTATTTCAGATACGATTATGATTTCAATTACCATTTCCCGTTGTAGTATGAAGGGTGGTTTTCGTTAATCCGTTTATCAAATTGAATAGGTAAATACGAATTTCCAATAAATACAAGTGCGTTTCACTGTTACTTATATGTATGTCACGGATTTATTTACGTTAATTTGATCTTTGAAATAAGATCCTTTGTCCAGATTTAGACTGGTGCATATGCTTGGATTTTACAGAATATAAGTACGTCCGATCGACTTTGTACATCGCTTTGAATTAGCAGTTCGAGGAGACTGAGAGATAAATACGTTATCGAAATCACACGAGGCGGCAACATCAGTAACTCAGTTAATCGCTTTAGATGTGTGACATCGAAGCTGGACACATTACACATCTGTTAATGTATGTGTGTAATACTCGTTAGGTAAACACAGTCGCTTTGAGCGGCTCTTAGGGCACCGGCCACAAACACATATGTAATTACACATCTACATATCGTACTGATCCAATATTAATTACCCCCGACTGCGGCAATTACGTGGCTGGATGTCTGTATTGAGTTCCACCTCTTCTTTTGAATTCTCCAACTTTATTTTTTTTTTATAATTTCTGTTTACCGTACAAAAGCAATTACACGCTATTACCGTAATAGCTTTCTTTCTTCGATGTGTTTATAAATTGTAAACAAATTGCATGCAACGGCTTAATAGTTCCTATAATTTATTTTGTAGTACCGCAATTGATTCTCGTAGTACTTGTAAATATCTTAGTGGCTAAGTGCAGTAAAGGGGTTTCTAACCGCCAACTGTAATTTAGCGTCATTTTTAATAGTTATTTATTGATGGAGAATACTGTTTCACCTTTTTTATTCCCACCCTTTGATTACGTGGAGTATTACAAATTCACGTGTATTAGTTATTCCTTTTTATAGGAGCTTATTATACCAGGTAGTCCTTTGTAATGGAATTGCTATTGTTAACGTATTACCGTTGATGAGTAATGAGTACTTACGAACATTATGTTGCTAGGTACTTTCTTATTAATAGCATCTGTTTTCTCCCATACCTTTTTATTGTATTGGTTTCAACAAACAACAAACGTGGGTGGTATCATTTGGCAAATTTATAATCTGTACGCTTTACAAACCTAACACTTTTATATTATGGTTACCAAACAGATTTAAGCCCCTGTATACGCTGTCAGGTCAGACTAAAGTTCTGCGGTAATCTGTTCCAGACTGAACGAAAATAAAAGGAACTCGCTCTTAAAAATACATCGATCTTTCTACAGACGCATGCATTTACCATAAACTTTTTTTAAATATAGGTATCTAATAGCTAGTGACAATTAGTCACATTTTAAATATTTGAAAATGGTTAACGGGTCTTTTCTCAAATGACAAAATAATATGTTTTGATTTTGTATATATTGTCTTGGTTTATAAGTTCACATTATGACATTATGATGTTCATATCAACGTATTCACAAATATAAAATAAAACTTTTATGTTAATAGAACTACTAATATACTTCCTACACAAGTACACATACTGCGCTTTCACGAGGACTGAAAATAGTCATAAAAGTTTCGTAATGTAGGTCCAGCTTTAAATACTTGTTCAAACTCTGATTACTGAATATAGTTGTAGTTATTGATCAAACTACTTAAAAACCTTCATACAAACTTCAGTCGAGCTTATTTTGTATTCTTTGTTTAAACGAGAATCCTACGCCTTGAGTGCACTTACGAAACTTTGCCTGTAAACACGACGGAAAAGGTGCAAATAAACTAGTTTTTTTTAAAATACCTAGGACCGGTATAGCTAATGGAAAGTGTACATAGACACGGGAAGAGCTGCACGTAGGTGCACGACATCACGACATCGACATTCTAAATTAGTAGTGATAAATCGGTAGTCCGGACAAATTGACCGTACGGAGCCGTAACCGGAGATAAACGTGGTTGTGTCCTAGACTAATTACCCGGAGGGGAATCAAAACCGCAAGGGATTAAGATCCACATACATGCCTCTGCATTGTTCCGCACACCAGATATGATGTGAAGTTATTACTTTATACGTTTTTGTCTTAGGCAGATTAGGTATACTCCGGGAATAATTTTTTCTTGGCCACTTACTATTTGTATACAATTGTGTTCCTTTTTTGCGCTTTCCAGGCTATCTACGATATGTTGGGTGCTTGCTCTAGCAACCGGCCAGCTGATTCTGCTGAAGAGCGCGCCAAGAATATCTTCGCTAAGATGGATGAAAACAACGACGGTCAACTGACGCAGGACGAGTTCCTGAAGGGCTGTCTGCAGGATGAGGAGCTTTCAAAAATGCTGGCGCCTTAAATCGGCGATTAACTTCTTTTAACCCCGCGATCCGTTCTCACATACCCACCCCCATTGTATGCCTCACGATAACCCGACGGCGTCGTCTTGTCCACACGGCAGCATTTAAAGAAAGAGTCGTTGTAACATTTTTATACTTTCAGTCAACCATTTGATCATTAACCTTACATTCTCACTGTAAATATATTTTCGAAAATTAAAATTCACACGTACATTTCAAAATTTTATATTCTGTACAAAAGTTTAAATCAAAATTCGTGTATATCTTTTAATATTTGGAGAAATTTTAATCGTTGCGGTGTAAGTGGAGGTAAAACCGGGTCAGCTTTTATCATCGAGTCGGATCTAATACGGTAACGGTGCGGTTGTGTGGTGTTGCTGTCGTGTTGACATGGCATGAGTATGTAGCATGTGTCTGTGTAACTCACATTGTGTTTGCGCATCCCGTGCGAGTCTACTGCGGCCGGCAATTGTTCACTAACATCTGCTCGCAGCTATAAATGAGTCACGAATCATGCTAAGCTGTCGTTGTACCTCGCCCAGTAAACACAGGCCGAATCTACTGATTGCAGCCGCATGTTGGCTTTACAGCCGAAATCACAGCTAAAATCAGATACACTCCAACAATGTAAGATCGGTGGCGGTTGTTGCTCGGCTCGGGATGGGGTATTTTAGGCCCGACAGTTCCTACTCCCAACATGCGATACGGATATGCGCTTCACAATTTGCTTTCTCACGACGCATGTGAATATTGTCGATTGTAAAAAAAAGTATTGTAAAATTAAGCTACTATTGATGTAACGAAATTGACGTCAATGAATCCTCGACTTAAAAATTGTCCATTCCTAATGATAAAGTATGAATGATAATATAATGTATGTGGAATATGTCGCTGTCGGATTGTCCACTTCGCTAATAGTATAAGATTGTGTCCGAACCATTCACTTCGTAGCGTTCTATCTATGACTATTCCTATATGTGACTCTCGGTCTATCTGGTTCAACGCTATATTCAATCCGATGACGGATTACTATAATAATAATGCACAGTATAAATCTTACATTCTAATATTAAGGCAAAGTTAGCGTAGCTATGTGTGTACAGAATCGGTCAGATTGGTTGAACAAACCTTACGAGTTGCACGCAATAGGTAGGTACAGCGCTAACAAGATTGTAGCGAACATCACGACGCGATATTACTATCACAAACAACACACACTGACAATCTGATCTGTTCTGTCGGCGTTAAGTTCAATTTATGTAAGTTAAAATAACAGTAATATTCTACATGAGTAAACTTTATATTATTATCGTTTCTAGTTATTGGTGTTGTTTATTATTGGTGTAATTCGTAAATTCGTCAGGAATCTTCTCCGCACTCGGGCTCACTCCCTGTGTCGCCCGGGCAGGACTCACGCTTCTTTGTCCCCGTATTATTTCAACGCTTTCGTACTCTCTATTCGTGATACTATCTCTTATCAGTTATTTTGCTTTATAATCTTACCTATCTACTATTTGTACTATTCATTGGAGTATCGTGTGTCCCAAATCATTTCCCCACTACTGTGCCTTCTAGTTCCCTGTTGTAAATAGTTTACCGATTCACCTTTATTTATTTTAACTACTGTCTAAGTTTACCCCTGTTATTTTTGCCAAAGGTGGCCAAAAACCTAACCCTAAACCAAATTGTAGTGTGCCCTAGTCCCATATTTCGTGTTATACTTAATTTTAGCGTTTTATTGTATTACTTAGTCGCAGTCTTCACCAATAGCCACTGGCCGCACACAGTCGAAAGGGTCGCGATATTATTATTTAATTTATATTTAACTTAAGCTGTGTTGTCTTCTTCCTTAGTTTTCAGTGCATAAAGTAAGATTATTTAGATAGTGTATTTATAAGTAAACAAACAGCGCGCAAACAACGCACAATTATGTATACAGGCACAACGTGACGTTGGCTTGAATCAAATACATAAGTATTTTTATATGTGTTAGGTCTGTGTTGAAATATATTCCCGCGTGTCGTTGGCAATAGGTGTGCGGAAGCGCGGTCGTCGCCGGCGGTTGCTCGATCTGCGGTGATTTCAATTTGAACTGCAAATCTCAAGTCGACAGCCGTGCGACATGCCGCAATCACCGCATTAGATTGTCTTCGTACATATTTTATTCCAAAATCGTGCAGTACTCTCGTGGCTCCGCTTCCTTATCGCATCAGGCTCACATCGTATGCATTCGATTTTATAGCAAGTTGAATTTTAACATTTTATTCGTAGCCGGAATAAAGTGTCAAAGCACTTTACTATAGCACCCGTCAGTGTCGAGAGATGCAAGCGGCTGTGTACGTTTCTGTAATGAGCGCATATTGACATTAATTTCCATAATCATGTGCACTGGAAGCTAACATCCTTGCATTAATTTGGTGTTAAAACATTCCATGTGATAACGCGGTACACTATAGTCATTAAGTTTTTACTTATATTTAATGTACGATTATTTCATTATAAACTTGTATGATTTGTATAATTTTGATGGTTTTATGGGTAAATTGTATTAATTTATTTTGTTATTAACTCTCTAACTCCTATAGGTAATTTCGATTATTTCATTCAGTTCCCAGTTCAGAGACAATTGGACGTATAATACGATTCTCCTTGTTGCCACGACGAAGTACGTCACATTAGAGGAAAGTTTAAACACGATCTTAAATTGACTGAATTTTATACAAACATAGAAGAAGAAGGATCAATAATTCTCATCTCGGACCTGAAAGTAGCTTCGCAGACAGGGTGTTGTTTGACATATCAGAAAAAGATTTTCGATTGGAAATATAGAAATTTAAATAAAATTTAATTGGAATGTATAACCATTTCCTAGAAATATCGCCCTAGGCGTAACGTACTATGTCTCACTAACAGGCAATTATTTGATTACGGCTCCAACAATGCCAGTGTACATATCCCAAACGAAACAGTTACAACTTAAATTCAACATAATATTTAGTCAATTATTATATTCATAAAAGTTTTATTGAGAAAGTTAATTATTACGCGACCCAGGCCTATGAGTCAGTTGCTACTGATCTTTATAGTTACGGTTAGCTAGGCTCTGCCACCCATTGGCAGTCTATGTGCTACCCCATTGTCCAAACCTTTATCTTACTACTTGACTCGATCACTTCACTGCGAAACAAATCTTTATGTATGCACTTCTACCGCACCACGTATAGTAACTTTTATCATAGGATTTAAATAAAATATTTCAATCATAGAGTCGTAAAGTCAATGTGGATTTATTAAGTTCGCTTGTGGTTTGAGTTCTTAAAATTTGCCATGAATTTGTGCCATATAATTTTGATTACATTTTAAATCTAGGGCGAACATTGGCAAAAACAGTTATCATAAACATCCGAGTGAGGACGCCACTGGCAGCTTCGTTTGAAATCTCGTAGTGAGACAATTCGTTCTCTTTGCACATAATCGCCCATTTTTATACTTAAATATTGGTTAGGACATAAGTGAATACTTTCTTATTGGTCTCAAATATGTAATCTCAATCTGTGAAAGTATGTGACTACTCTGTTTTGACCTGGCAAACTTGTCTGTAACCAGCATGTGATTTATATTATTGCGGACATTACAATGAATTAATTGTTTAGCCTATGTGTTTATTTATTTAGTAAAATTATTAGGTAAATAAAATATTTAAACAAATTATATAATTGGTGTTATGTTAATTGTGTAAGCGAAATGCCGACTTGCCCCTGGTATTTAAAAAATAATGCAAACAAGCATCGAATTTAGTACTCATGTATGAACAGCTTCCACTGGCAAATGGCAGTTCGCATAATTCAGAAAAACCAACAGAGTAGTTACCTTTTTGAATTCTATTCTGTTAACGTACTCTTAGTAGTAAGCTTCAAATATATTCCTTTACTTACGCTGTATAATTTATTTAATATATATTTTAGTGTAATCTATTGTTTAAGATATTATTGTAACTATCTGCGATAGTCGCACAAACCAGGTTTACTTGTATATTTTTCCTTAAGTGCAGCTACTTTATATTCAATGTATTTGCATTTAGTATGTACACTATCTTTGTATTAAAAATACGATTACATATTCGAACGTTGTTAAGTTACTGTCTTGACAAAACTGTTCCTAAGCGGTGGTTACACGCGCGGATAGTCGTTCTATATCATATTCTAACATCACAGCAGTTGTACTAGGTCAGCAAATATTAGTACCGATTGTTCGCTCAGAATAAAAGTACTTTCCAGATACCTACTGTGTGGACCCCGCTTTACATCTTGAAGTCTCAGTAAAGTATCCCAGACTAGTTATTTTACACTTAGTTTTGATTATCCCAACATATTATGTACTAAAACAAAGTATCCACAATGTGTCCCATTTAAATCTGTTGTATTACTAAGAATACATAATATTTTAATGAATTCACATTTTGCCTATTTATGTATATGATAAAAATAATTATAAAACAATTAGTTCATAAATAATTTGTCTCGTTATTGTATTGTGCACGACAACATAGTTTAATAATAATTACTAATTATAATTATTAGGTATCAAAATCATGTAGTCAGTTCTTTATTATATTGAGGTGGGTATGATTTCATTAAATTCAATAAAAATCATTAAAAATAGTTGTTACTAACTCAATCAGTTAACCCCGACTTTAGTTTCTTTTTTGTTTGTTTTTTGTGGAATGATGAAAATGAGAGTCCGTCATACTGATCTGGTCCTGCCATAGATCAGAAAGACTCTTGGCTAACATGACAGAATATCCAATATGAAGTTAAACACAGAATTATAAAGTTGACAATATCACAAATAACACACACTTTGTAAACAAGGGCCATCCCTGAATTAACCACACACATACATAAAGTTCGAATATAAAGTTAAAACTTGTATATTACAAGTAAATAGAATTACTTGTTCACAAACACTTAGGTACATACACATGTATGCACATAGACTTAATATACACCTACACTTACAATCACTCACCCTGCCACAGCCACACACACACACACACACATACACTCATACACACACACACACATACACTCATACACACACACACACACATACACTCATACACACACACACAAACTCATACACACACATAAACACTTGCACACAAACATATGCGCATGCATAAACACGATTACATATATGTATATACTACTTCTACACACGCGCACCCCTATGTAAACACCCACACGCACACTACCGCATTTGCACACACACAGATACACAAACACACTCACACACTTGTGATGGCACACTCACATTCATAAACTTTATTTGTGTGAACTACATGTACATTAAACGCACACGATGCCTCTTGCACCTCCTACTGCGAAGACACGCCCCAGATTAAGTACCTGTCTATATCAATTACATTCAATAATAGGTTCCTGGAAATGGCGCAAGCGCAATCTCATCACGCTTCCATTCGCCACGCCTACTCGTTACCTATTGCAGGGAAATGAAAATCCTTTCATTGTGTAATGCTGAAAATAAATAAATAAAGCTCGGAATTCTCTGGGAAATCACTGTTAAATGCAGGCATACAAATTGAATTCAACACTTTCCCCCCTCGAATGGAATTACAGCTTAAACTCCCCCCGTTTTCCACCCTTTATCACTCATACCATCGCAGTGACCTCCCACCTGCAGCGCGCACACAAACAAGTATGTTGAAAGTATTTCTCGCAACTTGTTAATGTGTGTCTCCTATACACACTCGTACATAATATACTCTATTAAATAGTTTCACATTTTACTGCTAGGGCTGGTACATGATTTTGACGAAATACAAATAAACTATAGTGTCGTGTACATTCGCCATGATTATTTATTTTTATTTATATTTGTTTTTCATTCATTATTCTAAAGTTAGCGTTTTTACGAAGGCAACAGAAGGTCAGACATTTCTCTTTAACTTTTTTAGACTTTATTTACACACGGTATTGCAGTTTTCATATATTTTTGCCACATATATATTTCAGTAAGTGACAATAAGTTATAGCTTATTTTCATAGCGTTTGTAAATAAAGTAAATGTTATATTTACAAATACTATTTACTAACTCGTAATAAAATTGCATCATTCCACTGAAATTCGTACTTCGAAATTGAAAGTTTTGCATTCGGTTTGACAGAAGTTCATGATCGAAAACTATTTCAACTATATCGTTATTACATACTTCTCCTCTGTTAAATTACATTCAGGTCTTCATGTTAAAATAACTCGCATATTTGAACCGACACGTGGATGTTATCGATCCCACTGAGCTATTTTAAAGCACATATGATATTCTTCTTTTTGATATTAATATTACTATGGAGTCTAAATATCGGTCGATCTTTTCCGAATAGAGATTATACAATCTATTGTAGATGCATTTTCTGAACGACTCTGTGGCTCGTTGTGAGAGTGACATATTAAAATCGTCTCGTCTTTGCTTCGTAGCCGGGATTTTATTAAACTTTGAATTATTTTTAATATCTTCTATTAAAATAGTTTGAACTTAGTGATTTGACATAAAATATATCGGCATATGGTTGTGCTGAAATGTTTTAAATGAATTTGTTGTAGGGAATTTGATTAGCTTCAGTGGATTGTGCAGTTTTGTTGCAAAATCATTCCATCTGTTTATTTCAATGTGTTTTTCAGCTATAACTACATACTTGTTATGTTTTAGGGCACAAGATTTCTCTACTCACTAAAAGCAAGCAGGTTGTGTAATATTTTAACGTCCTTTCCGAAATATAAACAGACAGCAAAATGGGAAAACAAAATAGTAAATTAAAACCAGAGGTTTTGGAAGATCTGAAGCAGAATACAGAGTTCTCAGGTATATATAAATTTACTGACTATTGGTTTATTTCACAGAAGTGTAAAGACAACTACCAGCTTTGTGCCTATTTTAAATGATCATCATTGGAAACGTTCTTATGGCATATCTCTTGTATATGTTATATGTTCTATTTTCATTTAGTTTCGTCTAACTTTGTCCAATGCTAAGGTAGTTTCATTAACACATTTTGTGCTGAAATTTTCCAGATGCTGAGATACAAGAATGGTACAAAGGCTTCCTAAAAGATTGCCCCAGTGGACATTTGTCTGTAGAAGAATTTAAGAAAATATACGGGAACTTTTTCCCATATGGCGACGCTAGTAAGGTAATCAATGAGTTTTGGTTTTTATACTTTTTACATAATGTGGCTTAAGGAATATAAGGGAACAACATTCTTAACAAATGATTTTGTTATATGTAGGTATGTTGAAAATGGTTATCGATGTTCGAGTCCTGGAAAATGCTAATGTTTTTGAAATGGGATTTTATGCGGATGCCGGAGAAAAAGAAACCAATTAATTATTATTACATTTGAACTCGAAACTTCTGCGGAAGAAAATTAGTTTCCTTAAAACTATTACAATTATCGATTAATATTAAAACGACATTATTAAATTAATTTAATAATTTTTTATTTTAGTTCGCGGAGCACGTGTTCCGAACATTTGATGCTAATGGTGACGGCACGATAGACTTTCGGGAGTTCCTGTGTGCGCTGAGCGTCACGTCACGCGGCAAGCTTGAACAGAAACTCAAGTGGGCATTTTCCATGTATGACCTCGATGGCAACGGGTACATCTCCCGGCAGGAGATGCTCGAAATTGTCACTGTAAGTATTTCTTAATTTTTTCTGTGATATTGGTAGGACGGATTACTTGATGGTAAGCATTCGGCGCCGCCTATGGAAACTCATTGCACCAGAGGAACCACAAGCACGTTGCCGGCCTTTTATAGATTGGGTATTTGGAGATTAAAGATTGTGGATTAAGGATGGAGGGAAGGGACGCCAATGTTATTTCACGCTGGTTTTCGGTAAGGTTGCAGAATCGATGCTAAAGTTAGTTTCTCATACGTGCTACGATTTTTGTCTAGGGAGACCAAATCCTCTTAAGGGTAAGCAGAGGTGGCCCACGTGCAATAAGGTATTGAAGTCCATGTCATGGAAATCATAATCTTTAATTCAAATTTTTCTTTTTTTTATTTGATGGGCCGACGCGTGATCCATATCTCGCCTGTTGGTAAGCGATGATGCAGTCTACATAAACACTATAGCTGCATAAAAATTAATTATTAATTGGTGACAGATTTATCCTGGTAGCTCGAACAAAGTAGGAGCCGGTGAAATGTATAAAATAAATCCCTTTGTTTCAGTTGCATGTTGTTAGTAGTTTGTACAGTTTGGATTGGAAGTTGACTAAGGTCAAAGCCAATTAGTGGTTCGCTTTCATTCGCATGATTTATACACGTGGAAAGGTCGCGAATTTAGCGTAGAACATAGTTATAATTAATATCAAATATTGTACAATTGTTAGTTTTCCCAAATTAAATAAAGTAGGACAGTTTTATATTGCAGTTGGGTTTGTTATTTGTTACGGGGTGGATATATAAACATTCTCCTGGCAAACGTGGATTTAAACATATCTTTAAAGAGCTGTTTGTCCATTAGTATGGTCGGTAGTTTAGTTTAGTTGATTACTATTGGACATTTTTTTAATTTAACACATTATTTATGTAAAAGACAGAGCAGTAGATGAAAGGTGCCTTGAGTTAGACGATCTCGTCATTTCAAATTAAAAACAAAATCTTTATGATGAAATATTTTTATCCAGTCATGGTAATAATTTGTGAGCTTTTGATTTTCGACGTAATGGAGCATTATGCATAATATTCGTTTCAATAGATTGGGAGACTGTTCGATATTTTCATAGCTTTTTTACTCCGGGAACAACCGGAACACAAGTGCGTTACTGGCCTTTTGGGGATTGTTGGGGATTGGGCTTTCCTGTAACCTCACTCACATGATGAAACACAACGTTGTTTCACGTCGGTTTTCTGTGGTATCACTCCGGTCGAGTCGGGCCATTCGTGCCGAAGCATATCTTTAGATAATTTACCATTTTGCACACATCACTAATTATGTAAAATCATTAATTGCAGGCAATTTACAAAATGGTGGGGTCTGTAATGAAGATGCCCGAGGACGAGTCGACGCCAGAGAAGCGAACCGACAAAATATTCCGACAAATGGACAGAAACAAAGACGGGAAGCTTTCCCTCGAGGAGTTCATAGAGGGCGCCAAGAGCGACCCGTCCATCGTACGGCTGCTGCAGTGCGACCCGCAATCACAGTGATACCTTAAATGTTAATCTTAGTACTCAATGAGTACCACTCAGTTTATCCACACTTATATAAAACTGTTGTAAAATATCACCCTTATTACAATGCTTGTAAGAGCTAGTGCGCGTCGTAAAGCGTTGGTTACACATTAAATCAGTTTGTTGTCCTGTTGCTTGGCTGTTTCTCCTCTCACTGTTATTATGGATTTCAAATATAATATTATAATAGTATTAGAGTTTGTTAAAAATATTAATAGATTTATACTCTGTGATTCTTGTTCACACAACAACAAAGACATAAATGAAGATCCAATGTTGAGAGATTACAAATTGGGATATTGAGGATGTATACTTATGACAGAGTACCTTACTATCCCGCCATGGTTGTGACAAGAAATTTACAGAAAGTACGACTTATTAAATGAGATATGTATTTACAAAAGCAGAGTAGAACATTAGTACAAAAAAATTAGAGTAAACGTTGAAATAAATTATACTATTTATATAGCATCTGTTCAAAGAGAAGGGATGCTGATAGTTATGAACAAATCGAAGGAACGCAGCAATAATTCCAAAGATAGTAGCATATATTACGGTAAGATAGGTCTATGAAGAAAACACGAATATTTTATACGATGTAGTAGGATAACGATCTATTTACAAAGTCGGTAATTAATCGAGGCAAGGCAACGTCACGACCACACTAAAAGACAGTAAATTTATTGGTTGACCTTGAAGGGTTTCATATTTCTATTGCTACAACAACCAAACAGCAGGACAAGTTATGTGCGACTGTAATGTGTATAGTGTTCAAAGATTTTTCCCTATAATACTAGTTAGGTTAATACACATTATCTGCCCACAAACGTTTTGCGGCTTTTTCGTATAAGCGGGCTCGCGAGGGATACTCATGTCGGGCACTTCACGTTCGATGTCTGAACGGAGAAGTTGCCGCGACACCACGGTGAAGCTACTTGCATAGCATGACATAGCGCTTCCTCTCCATTACCTCAAATATATTCGCAGTATACTTGATGCTGTCTATTTGTATCCAGTCAAATAGTATTACTTCGGTAGTTATTGTATCTATGAGGCATGGGTACACACTACACATAAAATGACAAAGTATCGTTACAAACGATATCGAAATAAAATTGACATATAGCATAAATCGCCTCACTAAATCTCACTTGCCCGCTTATATCGCGTATAAATTTTATCCAAGTATCTCCCTATATTATCGAAAATAATTTATTATATCTACAATTATTGAATGTTGCAACAATCACTACGTGGGTGTAATATGAAATTTTCGGAGTTTATTAAATCTTAATGATTCAATTTAACTTTAATGCCACAATCGACTTTATATTTGAAATTAAAATACGTCTTTAAATACATCCGATAAACAAATTCTAAAGTCTTATTTGACAGAGAATGTACCTATAACCGTATCTAGTTGAAATATGATGTAGATAACTGATGTTTGTTAAAAATAATTTGACGTTCTTGAGTCAAACCTTGAGAATATAATGCGAGCGTAGCTGGTTATGCATAGGGTACAGAAAACACAGTATTTAATGTTTAAATTTGTATTAGTTAAACGCTGTTGTTATTGCGCATCAATGACATTGATTATATAGATCTAATTAGTTTGAGTTGAGCGCGAATGTGGCCTTAGGACAGGATGCAAGCTCTGTACCGCTGTACGTATGCAGCTACGTCGCATAGCGTTTGGCAGTAAGGTTGTATGGCTGTCTTCTCACTGCTAGCGCATACGATGACGCTTAACTTGGCCTGATAACTTGTGGAGAATGATAGTCAGTTGCCGATCTGAGAATATATACTACGATCATTTATTAAACTTTAAACACAAGAGGTCGTCTATACAATATCTGTTGCTTGACATCTTGTCTTTCTAGCGAGCAGTGAAGTAGTGGCCTATCCGAGTATGTTTTCTCATATTTGCACCTGTTTGTGCAGACAAAATGCATGCCTTAATATATTCTAAATCTAATAATTTTATTTTATAGTGAGCAACCATGCTAGCATTGAAAAGACAGCGTTTTATAGCACAATTTTAGGAAGACATTTACGCAACAATCGACACAGACAAGTACGATAATATACAGTTATTATTAATTTATATTGTAATGAATATTCATGCTGGTTTATTCGCGTAGCTGATATTATTAAGGTTTAGTTTTAATGAATGAAGAAATATGAAAATTCATAACTATTGTCCCGAGTCAGCCTAAGTATTATTATTCAATTATTTTAAAGCAAAATGAAGTTAAGTAAAGATCTTTTTTATTCGCATTTTCTGTTTAAGGGCAACGGCAGGGGCATTTGTATCACTTTCATGTAACTAGTAAGTGGGCCGTCCACGCTGTCGTTGCATGAAATTGAAATAAATAAGCAATTGATAAGTTTCAAAGTTTGTAGCAATCGCAATGTTTATTAAAATATAGGTAATATTGTATTCTGTTCAAGAGGAATCTATTGATGAAGGTATTGTGGCAAGACTGCTATTACTTGTTATGATATATAGTAGATATATATTAGAGGCTCCGCCCCCGTTAGCTGCGGTCTTTCTACAAAGCCCAGAACCAAAAGCTCGGTGACGCTTCGACTGAAATAACTAATTTGTTTGCGCAGTCAGAGCATCTGCAGACGAACGCTCCGCCGCTGCGATACCGCCTTTGTGTTAAATGTTGTATAAAGTATATATGTAGAAGTTGAAGAGAATATTGAGAATAGACTTGTCTAAAGCAATATACCAGACTGAATATACTAATGGATAGCATGTCCATACAAATTGTCATTAAATACGTTGTGGATAAATTGCGCAACATTGTTGTCATCATTCTAATTACAAGTAAAAGCAATATAGTCCTCTAAGCTTAAGGTTTCTGTTTGCGGATAGTGTGCGCAATTTATTCATTCGTCCCATGCTTCAGGCAAGCCGTCATACCATGATACGCCGTTGTACCTGCATGATGTGGGTACCCTACTGATTGTGAAACCTCGTCTTCCAGACAATTAATCGTTAGTCGTGTCAAATCTCAGCGGTGGAGCAGTTGGTCTGTAACATGCCCAATATTAACGCATTATTGGTATACACTTATTCGTAGTTATGAACTCTGTAATTTTATAATAGGAATACACATTCAAATACATATTAAAATTATTTAAAGTATTTATCACACATCACAAATGTTTATATGAATTTAAAAATTAAGCAATCGCTAATTTAAGAAATGTGTCTCAGATTAGCGGTTGTTCTCTGCCCCTGTATCACACTAGTTGAGTTAATGATCTTGAAATGTATGCAATTTTGTTTATAATGGTCTATGTAGTTTTTATAACAACAGTCGATTGCTTGATTATCTCGAGGCTTTAGATGGCCGTAATCTCAGTTTGAATATCAGTGGTTAAACAGTATTCTTAATAAGTGTGCGTCGTGTGCTTTGTTATAATAACTACATACATGTAGTAAGCCACACAATGTATATTAGTATTTTTCTTTTATATAATTTGATTTTTGCAATGTATCGCCATTAAACTAACGCATATGTTTGGCTGTAGTATTATTTGTTTTACTAAACACAACTAACACTAACTTTTACACGCTTGTTTATTATTTATTTAGAAGCTTTACATAGTTGTATGACGGATCAATTCTCATTTTATATATTATACAACGCAAGTTTGTTTGACCGACTTTTTTTTGCTTGTCTAGCTAGCTAGTGTATTGAACGGAATATCGAATCAAATGCACAATTATTTTGTTTTCGCACAACAACAGCATAATGTACGTATCAATATATTATTGTTATTAATGTGTATTTATTGTGGAATTGATGACATATTGGAACCTTTTGAGTGTTCGTGTGTTCGTACCTTTTCACATGAATATATTCACCAACTCGCCAGTGCTTATGATGTATTATAACATATTTTATATTATACAATATATTATAGTATTTACTGTTTGTCGTTCAACACTATATGTAGAGTTTATGTTAAATGTACTATGTTGACTTACAGTACACAGCTTACTTGTTATATCCTAAAGTCTTCTAATATTATATGAAACAGTGTCTGAAATTTTACAAATATTATAATATCGTGTACTTTTTATATTCTCAGTAAGTTTACATATCTGTTATATAAAATCGATGTTCAATTAAGTGTCGTAGTGTAAAAGATCCGTAAAATATATCGAACCTGGACAAATAAAAGAATAATATTTTTAATATATAATTTTTTGATTGTGTACAGATTATTAGGTGTTCGGTCGAATTTTATATCTGTGTCATTTTTGGTAATAAGATAATTAAATTCTAAACATGAACGGTATGTACATCATCCTGAATGAAGCCTTTTATTCTAAGTGTTTAAAATGGAATTAACGTTGTATTTTGAATTAGAATTTAGCAAATAGATGTTTATAAGACTTATTTATAATATTCCTTACTTCTCTACTCAGACACCAGACGTTTCTATGCATTTCTCGTTTTCTCTATATACTTCCTGACTGTGCAGTTGATTCTATAATCAGTTTCATAATTTCGGTATGAATTTGCTTTTAACATACCAGATGAGGTGATTTGCTGAACATTGGCAATAATATAAAAATATTTGTATGTTCAAACATCGCAACAATACGCAACGGTTGTTTAGACAGTCTGACGGAGCGATAGCATTGCTCTCTAAAAATTCAGCAGTGACAAGATTGTATTGATAAATATAGACGACATGTATTGGACACAACCTTGCAAGATGTGAGCAAATCACCTGATACAATTACCTTAGGTAGATAGGTTGTATACCCAATATTAGATAGGATTCAGTTCAATGCGCTATATGCCCCGCGTCCTAGTCATTATAGATGAGTTTCTGAATTCCGCTGACGATTGTTTTATGGTCTTCCAGTATTTTAAGCAGTAGACGACTGAACTACGTAACGTGGTTATACTTCAATTTAATTAAAAATCATTTAGTTCAGGTTT